CACTTAACTCCACTGCCTAGCCAAAAAAATTTAAAAAAAAAACAGATTTGGACCCAGGCCAAAGTCCAGTATTCTTCCCACTATATCATGATGCCTCTCCTTGAGGCATCTCCCCATGATATTCCCACATCACATACCTAGGATGGAATCTTTGGACTTACAGAGAGATTTGGTGTGTTGTGATCATCCAGTCTAAACTTCATTTTATAGGTAAGGATAACAGGATTCATTGTATTCATATTCATTCATTCAACAAACATCTGTTGAGGACCTACTATATTCCAGGTACTATGTGCTAGGCCTTCTCCAGTATTCTTATTTTTTGTCATTTTTTTTTTAGGCAATTGGGGTTAAGTGACTTGCCCAGGGTCACACAGCTAGTAAGTGTCAAGTGTTTGGTCTGAGGACATATTTGAACTCAGGTTCTCCTGACTTCAGGGCAGGTGCTCTATCCACTGCGCCACCTAGCTGCCCCTCTCCAGTATTCTTATTATCAAGGAATCAGAAGACTGGGGAGGGATAGTGGAGTGTGGAAAGGGAGCAGGGTCAGAAAAGGGTGTAATTCTGCACACTGAGGGTTACATGGGGGAGGAGAGAGAGCCTGGGTTCCTATCTGCTGACGATGGCCCTGCCTGATCTCCCTGCTCCTACATAACCCTATCTGGAAGGTCCAGGCTTGAGGCCTGGTTAGGGCTAGATTATGGAACCCTGCAATGGTTTTGGCCCATCCCTTTCCCATCCTCTCACCAGAACTGGGCCTAAGGTGAATAGAGGCAGAGAAAGGTTGAACTCCAGTTTCCTCCTTCTTTAATCCCAAGACTCAGTCTTATGTCAAACCAGATATTGGCCTCTCCCCAAAGTCTACCAATAGGAACAGATGTTTGGGATTCTAGCCCTCTTCAGTCTCCCCTCTAAGCCAGAAGGGGACCTAGGCAGGCACCTCTTCCAGCCTAGGCAACTTCCTTCACGGTGCCCCCAGCCTAGCCTCTGGACTTTGTTCCCCAGTAGGAGTTGGAGCAGGGACTCCTGCATTTGGTGCTTGTGCTGACCCACTGCAGCTCTGGCACCAGGACCAAGATGCCAGCTGGGTCAAAAGGGTAGGTTAAAGTCCAAGTGTGCACATTACCCACACACATGTGCTCATATGTGCCAGTGATCCCAGAGCCTTATATCTTCCTTTCTCCTCATGGAGGGGTGGGCAGGATGGAGAAGAGGATGGAAGAGTGATAAAGTGTGTGTGTGTGTGTGTGTGTGTGTGTGTGTGTGTGTGTGTGCGTGTGCGTGTGCGTGTGCGCGCGCGCGCGCGCAGCATTCAGAACACATCTTCAGCCTCGGAGGAGAGGGCTTGGGGTTGAGGCCTTCTGGACTTTCCTTGGGAGATCAAAGGCCTGGTGGATAGTCCTCCAAAAGGCCAAAAGGAGGGTGTGGCTCAGGTTTATAAAAATGGCCAGGAAGTTCAGGACCCAGAGACTCTCCACCTCCCCACCCCCACAGGAGCAAAGATTCCTCCCCTACTACACAAGAAATAGACTCCCTCCCCCTCCCAACCGGTGGGCAGGCAGGCAGACAGACAAGCAGGCCGACAGACAGACAGACAGACAGACACATGCCATAAGGACACTTGTCTCCCACCAGACACACATATAAGACCCCGTTCCCAGTAGATATTCACACCAAAAAAAGGGATTAACCCCCCCCAGCAGATACCAATACCACACACATTAAATGAGATTCCCCCCAGCAGACACACACAAGATTTCCACACACCCCCTCCCAGCAGACATACATAACAAGATCCTTCCCAGACACACACACACACACACACACACACACACACACACACACACACACATTCCCCCCAGGAGATACAAAAAACAAGATTTCCCCACACACACACCCCCAGCAGATACCAACCATAAGGAGACACTACCCACATATACAAAAAGAATACCCCTTTCCAGAACATACAGCAAGGAGATTCCCTGTCTAGACACATTCAAAAAGATCTACCCCCCCCAGTAGCCACACACAAATCAAGGACAGCCCCTAAGACCCACACACAAGGTGACTCCCCCCATCCCCAGCAGATACACACACCATGAGACTCTTCTTCCAGGAAGCACCCATAAGAGGACCCCCTCAGACCTCTACCAGACACAGACACACAGACATACACAGGGGATTCCCTCTCCAGTATACACACAATTAGGATTCTCCCCCAAGCAGAAACAAATAAGAAGCACTCCACCCAAACAGGTACACACATAATCTCTCTCCCTTCAGTAGATATATATTGTAGACTTCCACCAGACGCACACACAGACATATCAACAGATGTAGACAATAATTTCTGCCTCCCCCCCATCCAGTAGATATACACAGGGAGACTTTACCAGCATACACAGACACAACTCCCCCCCCACAAGATCGATGCTCTGCTCCCCTCTCCACCAGACACACTCATGGAAACTCCCCACCTCCACCCCAGCTGCAGACAAACACATGAAACTACCTGGACACTACCAGACACACTCAGGAGGGTCCCTCCCTTCCCAGCAGACACATGACACTCCCCCCCCAGCATATACCCAAAAACACAAGAAGACTCCCTCTTTAACATCTACTTGAAGAGACCCAACTACCACTACAGAACACACACAATCTCTCTCCCTCTCAGTAGACACAAGTAGATTCTTCTACCAACCAGATACATACACAAGAAGATTCTCCCTCCCCAGATACACACAGAGTTCCCCTCCCCACCATTTTTAACCTTCCCCACCCCCTACAAGATGGAACAAGTGATGAGTGGAATGATCACTAGACTTGGAGCCAAGAGACCTATGTTCAAATCCAGCTCATGACTGTGTGACCATGGGCATGTCACTTAACCTCTCACCTTCAATTTCCTTATTTGCAAAATGGGAATAACAGGACCTACCTCAAAGGATTCTTAAGAGAACCAACTGAGACCATGTATATAAAATACTTTACAAATCTTAAACAAAAATTAGCTATTATTATTGTTGTTATTGAGACTCCCTCCACCCAAGAAATTGGAAAGTCTCCATGTCTCCAAATTAACCCATACAAAAGAAGACACCCCCCTCCAGACATATATACATAGAAACTCTCCCCACATACATACCCTAAGGAAGGCAGCCCTCCCCCAAACACAAAACACATAACACAGATTCCCCTGACAGACACCCCTTCCCCCCCCTTTTGGACATTCAGACATCCCTACACACAAGAAGAGATTTTCCCCCTCAGGTACAGTCACTGGCACAAATGGCACCCTCCAGACTTAACAAACACTCAATAAAACTCCCCTTATTACAGACATCTAAGATTTAGGGCTTAGCCACATAATGCCCAGGGACAGAAGTAGAGGAAAAATCTCTCCTACTCCTTACTCTTTTTCAATAAATTGGCATTTGTCCCCCAAGTGGACCTTCTCCAATAGGGTTCTCCTCCACAGTCCCCTCCCAATTTCATTTGGTCCCTCATTCTGATATTTATTGTAAAAGAAACCTTATAATTTTAAGGTACCTTAGAGCCCACCCCTTACTATCTCTAAGTGATTAATAACACAAACCTTAAAAAAAAATGAAGAATAGGGGATACTCACTCCCTCAACTCTGTCCTTCCTCTTCCTTCCTGTATCCACCACCTTTCGCCTCCTCTCCTTAATCTGAGTTCCTACTCTTCCTCCCAACCCCCTACTTCCACTTCAGTTCTAAGAGTACAACTTGAAGAAACAGAGTTAGTTATTGGTTTGGTTTTCTCTCTTCCTCCTTAGCCCCCTCGAACCTGGACAGGTACTGAGGGCACGGAAGGCCCAAGGCAGAACTGAGAAAGCAACCCAGCCTTTCCCCCAGGGGCCTACTGTAGGCCGAGGGACAGTGAGGCGATCAACCACATGGCCGAGACTAGGACGGTTGTGGCGGGAGATGCACACACCTGGGAGGGAGGAGCAACCACCCCCTCCCTCCTCAACCACAAAGAAGCTCCCTTCTCCCATGAACCCCCAGTCACAAGAGCAGCCCAGATCCCTCCACTGGCTCCTAAATTAGGATTTGGTTCATTAGAAAGATTTTTTTTGGTGGGGAGGGGGCGCTTTTCTCTCCAATTATCTTTCTAGCCAGGTAGACACCCCCCCCCGACTCCCAAGCCTAAAGTTTTCCAGGATTTAGGAGCAAACTCTTTTCCCACCGCCAAACACGTAAACGCACACGCTGGCCTAGGCACTTTTCCCTCCCCTTCAACCGTGGTGGTAGTGCTGTGAGTGAAACAGAAAGAGAGAAACAGGGAACTGGGGAGGTGAACCTCAGAATGGAGGTGTTAGAGGGAGCAGGGATATAGGGGAGGTTACATCTCTCATCCCCAGGGGTGGGAGGAGTTTCTGGAGAGGGACTGAGCCAGCCCCTTAAGTGAGGCAGACAAGCTGGCGAGACTACCCCAAGGGAGAAACTGACCAGGATGGGGCCTGGGGAGGGGGACATTGGACATTCGGGGAAAGGGAATAAAATTGACCTGCACGTCGTCCCCCTCCCTTACATATACTTTGAATCGGGCCCTCACCCTTTCCGATCCAGGTGCTCGCCCCCTCCTTTCCCCTCCCCTTTCTCCTCCGCCAAGTACTACCCGGTCCCTGGGTAGAGAGGCCTGGCTGCCCCGACCCACGAGCTGCCCGGACCATTATATAATACGGAGGTGGAGAGACCGAGAACCCGGCTGTGATGGGGGCGGGGAGGGGGCAAAATCGGGGACCCAGGCGTCCCCTGCCCCCACCCCCTCCGGGTGCAATGTGCTAGTGCCCGCGTTATGCAACCCGGGCGGTTGGGGCATAAGCGTGGCCTATCCCTCCCTCCCCGCCCCCCCTCACCACCACGCACTCCCCTCCGGGACCCATCTGCTCCCCCAGCTCGGCTCGGCCCGGCCCGGCCCCGGCCCCGGCCCCGGCCCCAGAGGCTCCGCACATCCCTTTCCTTCCTTACCCGGGCCGGCCAGTGAGGGTATCCCTTCATTTTGGCGAACACAAGGTCTCCGCATTTGTATTCCTTCTGCCTGTTGGAGCGGGACATCTTGGGGGTTCCGGTGGCTCCCCCAAACTCAATTCTGGAGCGGGAGGGGGGCCCGGGGAAGGAGAGAGCTGAAGTTTGACTCCGCTACCGCGAAGGGGGGACAGGGGGAGGCGCCGCTCGGGCCCCCTCCTCTTCCTCGTGCAATCCCCCCTGCCTTGAAATAGGCGCCCACCCCCCCCGGCCCCGGCTTCCGAGGCTCAGTTCTCCGCGCCTTCTCCTCCTTCTCCGCCTCCAGCAAAGGGGTGCGGGCCGCCGATTAGGGGTCCTTAGCTCCCGGGAGGTGGGTGAGCGCTCATGCAGTTGTTTGTGTTTGAAATTCAATTGCTCCCTCCTCGGAGCGAGGCCTCTTCCCCCCACTCCCTCCAGTCCCTACTCCGCCTCCTCCTCCTCCCTCCCCTTACCTCCTCCCCCCTCCTCCCTCTCTTTTCCACTTCTCCCTTCCTCTCCTGCCCTCGGCCTTCGGCTCCGGTTCGATGCGACCGGCCACTCGATGCCTAGCGCCTGTCCCTGCCCGCCTTCCCAACCCCAGGCTTCTGGGGACCCCGGGGGGCCAGGCAGGAGGAGTGAAGTGCCGAGTGCAGCGATTGGGCTTTGTGTGAAGCAGCTTAGCTGGGTGGCAAAGGGAAGGTGGACAGATGCTCTGCTGGATATCTAGGGGAGGGAATCCAGGGCTCAAAGGGCCTGCTTCGTTGGCTCCCCGACCTGGATTGCATTGTGGTTACAGAGATCCAAGAGCAGAAAAGCATCTCATCACCATTTGTGCCGACACTGAGTTTCCAAATGCTCTTGCTTTTAAGTTTCCTGCCTTCTGTTTGTTTCATGTCAGCAGATGTTTACTCAGAGTCTGCTTCATGCCCAGCACCCTGCAACCTTGTAGATGGGAAGAGGGACACAAAAGTAGAACACTGTGGCTGCCCCTGAGGAACTTATAGTCTAGTAAGGTTACTGTGGGTATCAATAGACCGTGGAGAGGTGGAACAAGGGAGAGTGCTGGACCTTGAGTCTAGAGACCTCTCTAAAGACCATCCTAAAATGGAATGTCTCCTGGGAAGCAGGTTCTCCCTTCCTACCGAATATCTAGATGACCATTTCTTTTGGTGGTTTTAACTCAGATTCTGGAAGATCTCAGTTCAAATTCTAGGTCCTACCCTGAATTAGGGAAGCTAGATGGTGAAGTGGATAGAGTGCCAGGTCTGGAATCAGGAAGACTCATCTTCCTTAGTTCAAATCTGGCCTCAGACACTTACTAGCTGTGTGACCCTGAGCAAGTCACTAAACCCTGCTTGTTTCAGTTTCCTCATCTGTAAAATGAGCTGGAGAAGGAAATGGCAAACCACTCTGGTGTCTTTGCAAAGTAAACCCCAAATGGGGTCACAAGGAGTCAGATATGACTGAACAATAACATGGAATTATGTGGATAACATGGAAAGTCACTTTATTTTTCTGGGCCTTCATTTCCTAATATGCAAAATGGGAGTAGTAATCCTGGCATCACCTATCTCACAAGGAAAGAACTGATAACTACAAACTCAGATTCTGTATAGTTTGAGTTGCTTGAGGTGCAAAGTGGGTTTTGCTCATGGTCACCCAAAGGTAGGATTTGAACCTAGAAATAGTTTTCTGTGTATGTGTCAATTTCCCCTACCTTACTTGAGAGAGGGGACCATGTCTTACCTAAACTTTTTTATCTTCCCCCTGCAGTGAAAGAGAAAAGCGAATAAGTGTTTATGTGGTATCTACTACAGGCCAGCCATCGTGCTAAGTGTTTTATACAAGTGTTCTGCTCCTTATAGGCACCTACAATGTCTTACTAAATGAACAGGAAAATGGGTTTTGGTTATATTAACGTGCTCTTTGCAATTAAGGGGAATAGGGGTAGAATAGCAGAGACAGCACTGAAACAGTCTGGGGATACCTTCAGATCCTGGCTTTTCCACTTGCTCCCTATGTAGCCTAGGTTAAGTCTATTTCATCTTTGGGCCTCAGTTTCCTCATCTCTAAAATAAAGGGGTTGGACTAGATAATTTTTGAGATCCTTTCCAGGCTAACCTGTAATTCTTCACAAGTTTCATAAGCTTGACTGTAAATCCAGGGTGGGGTAGAAACCCAGGGCTTAGCAAGGCCTAGCTGCTGCCTCTAGAAAAAGAAAGGACTTGCTTCATGAGTCAGGTTTTCAGAGTAGTTTTCTTTGTTTGCTTTATAAGCTTTGGACAAAATGAAAGAATATTTACATGGTATTTTTAAACTTTTGACGTCTATGACAAGGGTACAGATATGGGCAACCAGGTTGATGAATGGCCTTGACTCCACTTCATATGGGAATCATGTAAAGCAACTGGGGTTGTTTAGCCTGGAGAAGAGAAGGGGAAGAAAAAATAAAAGGAGGGAGGGGAAGAAGGGAGGGGAAGAAGGTAGAGGAAGAGTGATGGAGGAAGAGGTAAGGAGTAAGAAAGGGGGAAGGAAGAAGGATGGAGAATTCTTATCAATTAGCCAAGGGTTGTCATATGAAGAAGGGATTAGATTTATTCTGTTTGGCTCTAGAGGGTACAACCAGGAACAAGGGTAGAAACTGCAAAGGGCCAGATTTAGGCTTGATGTCAGGAAAAGATTCCTAACAATTAAAGCTACTCCAAAAGTGGACTAGGTTGCCTCAGGAGGTGATGGGTTCCCCCTCCTTGAAGCCCTTCAAACATAGACTAATCAAATGCTTGCTAATGCTAGGTATATATGGTTGGACTAGATGGCTCACAAAGTCCTTTCCAACTGTCAAATTCTATCTGTTTTTTTTAGTCACATAATAACCCTGTGAAGCCAACAAGGCAAATATTTTTAATCCCTATCTAAAAAGGGAGGAAACTGAAGACAGAGATGTGAAATTATTTGCTCAAGGTAATAAAACTAGAGAGTAGCAGAGGCTAGAATCCAGGTTTCCTGACTCCTGGTACATGGTTCTCTTCACCTTGCTCTTGACACCTCCTTCCAAAGAATATCCAGTATTTCTGCTGCAGCAGGGTTCCAGGCCTTTGTCGGAGTAGCATAATCAAAGTTTGGTTACAACAAAGAGTAAAAGGACAAGAGCAATATAATTCAGTGTCAGGGTTGCCATACACTTCCTTATGATTATTGGAAAAAAAGCTCTTTGGGAAGAACTGATTGATAGTAAAACATACTTCTCTCCTTTCAACAGGGAGGTAGGGAAATATAGGTGAGGAATATTTCACACAAGGTCACTTTGGTGGTTAGGTTTTGCTTAACTTTTCTTACGAGAGGGTTGAATATAGAGAAATGACTGTGGTTTTGAAAACCAAAGGCATCAGGCTTTTTCCTCCCAAAAAAGATTATCTTATTGCAAAAATGTACCCATTCATGAAAAGTCACTAAGTTCATACCCTTTGACTGAAAAAACAAACAAACAAACCCAAAACTGTTTAGTCTAAGGAGGCCAAAATATAAATTTGTAGCAGTACTCTTGGTGGTATTAAAAATATAGAAACAAAGAAGGTGCTCAGTAGTGGTAGAATGATTGAGTAAACTGTTAAATGAATATAATGGGATATTATTGCATTCTAAGATTTTTCTTTTGGTGAGGCTGTGAGGTTAAGTGACTTGCCCAGGGTCACATGGCTAGTAAGTATTAAGTGTCTGAGGCTGGATTTGAACTCAGGTCCTCCTGACTCCAAGGCCAGAGCTCTATTCACTGTGCCACCTAGCTGCCCCTTCTAAGACATTTTTTAAAATACAAAAGAATTCAGAGAAACAGAGGAAGAATTATATGAAATGAGGCAGAATGAAGTAAGAGAACAAGGAGAATGACATACACATTGACTATAATAATGAATCTGAGTAACTTAATCTTGGCCCCTGAGAAAAGATAAGGGAGCACCTTTCTCTGTTAAGTGGAGAGGTAGGGGAGGAGAGTTAAGTGGGAGGCTGTGGAATATTATATTTAGATCATTTTGTTGGTTTTGCTTAAGTTTTTTCTTTGTTGAAAGAAGGGCTTATTTAGCAATGAAGTAGGATATTTAGAAATGACTATGATATAAAAACAAAAGATGTGGATAAAACTTACTAAAAGTAATAACAACATATCCTTGTCTTCAATGTAATAAAGGTCCAAGTTTACAATGAAGTAAATTGCCATCTAATTGTAGGAGAACAATCTCAGGCTTTGAGTAGGGTGAAGTATCCAGTTTTTTTCTTGTCACAAGTTTCTTGATTTCTGTTTCAACAGGACAATACGGAGTGTCCATGCAAAAGTGTCTAGGTTCCTTTTGCAAGAGAGGGAGCCAGGTTTTCCTTGCAACAAGTTCTTTTGCCTTTGTTACAGTGACGCAGGGCAGCCTGACAAAGTGCCTCCTTTCCTGTGGCTGTAAGTGCTTTTGGCTTCTCTTCCCATGCAATTATAAAGCCTTTGTTATAATGTGACATATGGCCAGGTTTAGTAGCAACAAAGTATTTGATTTCTTGCTTGCCATGAGGTTCTGCATCTCCATTTCAATAGCAAATCCTGGCTATTGTTGCAACAGTGTCAGGGTTTTTCATTACAATAAAGCAATCTATGTTTCACTGCAATCAGTATAAAAAGGCCAAATTTCAGGGAGCCAAGATGGCAGATAGAAGCCCGGAAGTTGCCTGAGCTCTCCCCAGTTTCCCTCGGAAACAATGTTAAATCAAGCCTCTAAAAGAATTCTGGAGTGACAGAATCCACAAAAAGAGGGAGTGAAACAATTTTCCAGCTGATTTTCCAGCTGAAAATAACTTAGAAGGACTTCAGCAAAGATCTATCTCACTTGGGTAAAAAGGGAGCACAGCCCAGCATAGGGCAGGCAAGCCAGGATGAGGCTGTTAGTCACAGCACACAGCAGCAACCAAGGCCCCACGTTCCAGGCTCAGCAGGCCATCTGGGAGGCCCCTAGCCCCAGTGCAGCCGGCAAACTGCCAGCCCTGAAACCCAGGGGACAACAGGTGGGACTAGGCCAGGCCACCCTAGCACAGTGGGCAAGCCACTAGCCCCAGAAGCCCTGGCACAGAGCAGACCACTGGCCCCCAGTGCAACAAGCTTGAGATAGTGGCCCCTCTAACCCAGGAGCACAGCTCAACTTTTAAAAATGAGCAAAAAACAAAAAAGAGCCCTGACCATAGAAAGCTGCTATGGCAACAGGGAAGATCAAAACACAAACTCAGAAGAAGACAACAATGTCAAAATGCCTACATTCAAAGCCTCAAAAGGAAATATGAATTCGTCTCAAGCCTAAAAAAGTCCTATTGAAGGAGCTCAAAAGGGATTTTGAGAAACAAGTAAGAAGAAAAATTGGGAAAAGAAATGGGAGTTATTCAGAATAATTACAAAAAGAGTCAACAGCTTGGAAAAGGAACACAA